GTGCTTTTCTGGACCGTCCGTTCCGGGCTTCAGTTTTTCCGAAATTAAACCGAATTAGGGTTAAATCACCTTATATGAAGGAGATTAAAAACCCTAACTGGTGTGAGACGAACAGAGCCGAGTTTTGGCAGAAAAGAGAGAGTTTTTGGAGATCCAAAAACGAGTTCTAAGTCTCGAGATTTCTCGGTGCACATATCGAATAGAGATTCGAGTCCTAGCAGACAAGTTCCAATCGTTGGAATCCATCCCGAGGTGTGGATACGTGTAGATGGCGAGGTAATCTTCCTGCCTAAGTGATCGGACGAATTCTTCAGTTGATACATGCCCCGGATCGATTGAGGTAAGCGTTCTAACGTTTCTACGATTCATTAGAAGCATGGTTCTAGGGTTTATTAAATTTTTGTTTTATATCCGCTGCGCAAACCCTAGAATCGATCTCTTAGGAATAGGATTCGCTCTAGAGATCCCAGGAAACCCAACATTTGGCCTATTCCCATCTCGGTTACCTCCTTGGTTCCTCGAGGGTTGGTTGGGACGGTTTTGGTTGTACTCCGGAATGCCTTCTACAACCGTGATGGCCTCTTCTAGGGTTTGGGCGTCCCTACGGTTCACCTTCATCCTAGCAAAGTCCGTCAAACCATCCTTAAAGTAAAACAATGCATCTCTATCCGTTAGATCAAGAATCTCTAAACGAAGAGTTGTAACATCGTGTATATAGTCAAGAATACTCCCTGTGTACCGGAGACGTCGGAACCTAGTCCGAGTCTCGTCGACTGCATTGGTGGGGACAAAGTGGCGTCGGAGTTCGGCCTTGAACTGAGCCCATGTGTCCATCCGACGTTCTCCTCGTTCGCGGTCAGCAAGGAAACGTCTCCACCAAAGTTGGGCCACATCCACTACAAAAAAATCAGCAAATTCCAACGAATTTTCCAACGGATTTATCCGTTGGAAAATTTTCAACGGATTTTCAACGGTTTTCAACGGCATTTCAACGGTGATTTCCGTTAAAAATCCGTTGAAAATTTCCAACGGATATCCGTTGGAATCGCCCGTTGGAAATTTTTAACGGAATTTTCAACGTATTCAATTGAAAAAATTAGGGTTGAAATTTTCCAACGGTATTTCCAACGGATATCCGTTGGAATTTTTTTTGGAAATTTAAAAAAAAAAATTCCAACGGAATTCCAACGGATGTCAGTTGAAATTTTTTTTGAAAATTTTAAAAAAAAATTCCAACGGAATTCCAACGGATGTCGGTTGGAAATTTTTTTGGAGATTTTAAAAAAAAATTCCAACGGATAACGGTTAGAAATTAGGATTTTAATTGAAATATAAATATATATATAAATACATGTATATTTTGTGTATATACATACATATATATATATATCGATATATATATATATATATATATATACAAAATATACATGTATTTATATATATATATATATATTTCAATTAAAATATATATTAACTATATACATACACATAATATATATATATATATATAAATTCGAATGTGTATATACGTAAATATATATATACATATATACATATAAATATATGTAAATGTGTATATAAATATATAAATATATATAAATATATGTATATACGTAAATATATATAAATATATGTATATATAAAATATTTATATATTTCGAATGTGTATATACGTAAATATATATATACATATATACAAATATATATATTCGAATGTGTATATACATATATGTATATATATATATATATGTTCAACGATCCAAACATACTCAGACGATTTCACCTTATCAGGGAGTTTATAGACAGAGGAGACGTACACATTTGCAGAGTGTCGACAGATTACAACATTGCCGATCCGTTGACGAAGCCTCTCCCTTCGTCGAAGCATGCAACAACAAGCACTTCCTCTTCTTCTACTTCCTTCTCCCTCGATGAAAACGATGACAGAGAAGGAGACGATGACTCAGACGACGATTCTTCGCTGTCGTAAGAGCTGTCTCCTTCCGAATACGATTCCCCGATGTATTCTTTCTTCACAACTCTCCTCCTCGGATCTTCCTTCACTTTCATCCCGTTCTTCCAGTTTATGTAATAAATCTCTCCTGTCTGTAAAACACAGAACCCATATTTCAAATAATTGCAACTTCATAAAAAGTTCGGTTCTTTTCTTTATAACGAGGCGGAAGTGGAATCTCTGCCCGAGTTTCCTCTTTCACGAGACAAAACTTTCTATCTCACCCGAGATCAGATAGCTCAACCAATAACGGATAGGACAAAGCCAGGTTCGAGTCTCCATTTGGAGAAGGGCAATCACATGAACTTTTCCAACCCTCTAGGAGATGTTGGGACGAAAGATCAGTATTCAACCCTTTCGGATTATCAAAAAAAAAAGACTTTCTATCTGGTTTTTCCCCATGAAAATGTAATCTCGGAGATAGGTGGCCGCGTGTCGGATCTTGGCTTGGTCGTCGGTTACACCAAGGGCCTCGAAGTATTGGTCCAAGGTGAACAGGAAGGACTCCACCACAGACGCACTCCGGTTCCCATTGAAGAGGAAAGGCTCGGAACCTTGATGGGCAGAGGGTTGTGAGCCGGGGCCGGTGCTGGGGGAGGTACCGGAGCAGGGGCTGCTTGGTTCCTGTGCAAACGATATTCAAGCTTTAGTTCATTGACTAAGCGACGAAGGTCACTTACCTCGCGGTCATGGTCCTCTCGCAAGAGCCGGATCTGCACGTCGCAAGAGTCCAAGTCGGTTTGGGTTCTCTGCTCCATGTCCGAGAGCATCTCCTTGGTCGTGTCACCAATGGCAGAGATCTCCTGCTCGAGGTCATCCATGCGTGCATCCTGGTTGGCCGAGACATCCTCCAAGGCTTGGACTCGGTGCTCCAAGGGTTGGGATTGCATCTCGCCTCCATCGGGTGCGTGAGTGATTGCGGCTACGTCCGCAAGGGCCTGGGCACGGGATCTCGTGATGCGGGGCTCCTCAGCCCCCCGTGCTCCAGGTTGAGTGGTCTCGGACGGTGTGTCCGAGGTTTGCCCATTCGTTCCATTGTTGCGTGCCATGTTGGTCTTCTCTTTCTCGGTAGAGTGCGGAAGCGGCTAGGGATCGAGACCTGTTCGTTTGCAAGCGAACCAGGCTCTGATACCACAATGTCATGGGTCTAGAGCTGAGTTAGGAACCACGTGAGGCAGCCAAGGCAAGGGGAGAGTCTCGGACGTGTGTGGGACACGGGAGAGCTCGGTGGTCTTGGTTAAGCCTTCTCCGGACTTAGAGAAATCCGAGAGATTAAGGATAGAAGGTGAATGAGAAGGAGAGAAGGACCGAGAGGCTAAGGAAAGCTGACGGTACGGCTGAGCTTTATTAATAATGAAAGGAAGAACAAGGGTGAAACGTGCGGCTCGTACAAGGGGATGGTTTCCGGCGACGGTTTGTGAACCGGCGGTGGACAACCAAAGAAAGAAGAGAGCCGGCGAAGCTAGGGTTTTCAGAAACTTTAGGGCGAGATTTTGGGATTAAACGAGATGCCCTTCCACTTCTGATCAGCCTTCTATTTATTATGTTTGGCCACAAGATCAAAAATGGAAAGTTCACAAATCCGTTCCCATAATCTTTCCTTTAGTCCCTACTTGCCCAAAACGAAAAAGGACACTCTAAGACTTGCCTAAACCTATCTAAGGACATTCTAGAACACCTAAATGGGCTTTGACCCGAGCCCAAGCCACCAAGGATGACAGAACACGCCCATGAACTCGTCATGGGCCATATTCGGCCAAAACAGGTAAGTCTCGGGTCAAAGCTTGGTCCGGTTGTGGCATTGGCACGAACGTGGTCTGGACATGTCCTGGAGGTCTGGGAGAGTGCTGGGACGTCGGGGCATGGTGGTCCGAAGCCGTCCATGGTCTGTGACCCGCTAAGGAAGCTTCTCGGCCATTCCTTGTCCATGTGCGCGTATTTCTCCGTCCGTGAATGAACCTGTGAACATACATGAACGAGAAAAACGAAAGAGACTAGGAAGGTGAAAAATTACCCCATTTTTCCCTCACAATAGCGAGGGATGATTATTAACACATTAAAACATTAATCCTCCTTTTTTTTTGGATTAACCTTTGAGAACACCCCACATTCTTAACGCACAGTCAAGATTCAAGAACCATTCTTATAGGACAGAACCTAAGAAACTCAATCACAAGAAATGGAGAAAACAAAAATAAATGAAAATAGAAAAAAAAAACAAAGAAAATCCATCAAGGAGAAGCAGAATCATTCATCAGGCCGATCAAAGTGGATGAGTTGAGCTGAACATTTCGGACAGTCTTCCACAAGTTTAGGAACCATGAAATACATGAAACAGGCCCTGCAACCAGCAACAACAAGCACTTCCTCTTCTTCTACTTCCTTCTCCCTCGATGAAAACGATGACAGAGAAGGAGACGATGACTCAGACGACGATTCTTCGCTGTCGTAAGAGCTGTCTCCTTCCGAATACGATTCCCCGATGTATTCTTTCTTCACAACTCTCCTCCTCGGATCTTCCTTCACTTTCATCCCGTTCTTCCAGTTTATGTAATAAATCTCTCCTGTCTGTAAAACACAGAACCCATATTTCAAATAATTGCAACTTCATAAAAAGTTCGGTTCTTTTCTTTATAACGAGGCGGAAGTGGAATCTCTGCCCGAGTTTCCTCTTTCACGAGACAAAACTTTCTATCTCACCCGAGATCAGATAGCTCAACCAATAACGGATAGGACAAAGCCAGGTTCGAGTCTCCATTTGGAGAAGGGCAATCACATGAACTTTTCCAACCCTCTAGGAGATGTTGGGACGAAAGATCAGTATTCAACCCTTTCGGATTATCAAAAAAAAAAGACTTTCTATCTGGTTTTTCCCCATGAAAATGTAACAAGGCAGTACTCAACACTTGCATTTTCCAACCAAACTCTGTAGCAAATAAAGAACTGAAGAAGCTTGGTCTAGATTCTACTATATACGGACATCATCAAATTCACAGACAAAAATGCATTTGTTTCCTTTGCCCTAAAAGGATATTATATTATATACCCATCTAGGATTGTGAAACAGGAAGACATGCTTAATTGATTCGAATGAAATGGAAAAAAGAAGAGCCCTCTGGGTTAATGTGTATGCATCTATGTCTGTAATGCATCAGCCTTATGTGATTCCATCCAAAACCTCTGAGTCTCCATGATCAAGATCGAAACTTTGCCTGAAACCAGTGAGAAAACTGGATTCCTTTCTAGGGTTCATGGAAAACGATCGCTTTCCCTCGCTCAAGCCTGAAATCCAGACCCGTGTCCGATAGAGAGAGGCACATACCGTGGATACATACACAGAGACACATATGCAGTGGATACAGGGACAAAGGTTGAATCAATAAATGCAACACACAGGGAAACAGCAAATGCAATTATAGGAAACAAAAAACCTTTTCCCGGTTCGGCATTTAATGCAAATCCCAAATGCGGAAAGGACAGATTCCATGTTTTTGCAGGAAACAAAAAACAAACGAAAACATGAAATGGGTATCTTTTTTTTTTTTTTTTTTGGTTCACCTTGAGATCAAGACACTGTTCCCAGTGACGAGGAAGAGAGATGTGGGAATTCAGCTCCAAGGTTCTGTCTGAGATCGGGATGTGTTCGTCGGTCGTCGAGTAGAAATTATCGTCCGATGTCGATGATTCTTCTTCTCCGACACCGACCCTTCTTCTCCGATTGCTCAGAGAACAATTTTGCATCGATCTTTCCAGAGATTCTGTGATCGTTGCCATGTCCGGAGCCGTCTTTTCCCTCATTGTCTCCCCAAAAAAACCAACGCACCGGGAAAAAAGTTCCAAAAACAGGAAGAACCACAGAGATTGTGCTCTTCGTGAGAGAGAGAGAGAGAGAGAGAGAGAGAGAAAGAGAGAACAAGGGTGAAACAGATCGGGAGAGAGAGAGAGAGGTTTGAAAAAACGAAAACGAAAACGATGAAGGGACTCTTTTAACTGAGAAAATAGAGAGGGGGAGTGGTAGTTTCGTAATTTCTGGGTTGAGTGAGTCACGCGCCGTGGAGGGAGCGCGTGGGGTATATTGGGTGAAGAGAAAGTGGAACCGTAACTGTCAGGCACAAAGCGACCACTGCAGCTCGCATTTTGTCTCTCGTCCGTGTAATGGAACATGAGAACACTCCTCACGCGCGTGGGTTCGCGCGTGGTTTACTCGCCCTCGTTTGATCAGTAAAAAGATGATTAATATCGAGTAGATAAGTTTATTTGAATTTTTAATCAACATATACAAAAGTAAGAATATATTATTTTTTAAAGGTAAATCATTTTATGTATAGATACAAAGATATTATATTATAAATTTATCTAATGATATCTATTTTTTAAAAAATAATAGATAATAAACAAAAAAAGCAATTAAAAATCAGAAGAATATCTTTTAACTTTAGGCTTTATCAAATTTTGGGAAGGGCTAATGTGGGAAATTAGGGTTTTTTTTTTTATAAAGATAGGGATTCTGTAAAATTATATAAAGTTATCTAAGTGACTTTGCTGATATATATATATATATATATATATATATTGCATTCTTCATTTTTTCTCGTTTATTTTGATATATTAAAAGAATTTATATAAAATTTAAAATTAACGTGAATTAATCTTAAATGTGTACATTTCTAGGATTACATAGCATTATATATTTGATTAAAAAATAAAGGAATATTGTCGTGGTCATGGAGTTGGCATATCACGCGTAAACAACTTTATATATACATATATATATACACACTAATATACATAATCTTTGAAAAAAATAAAATTTTAAATTAAAAGTCAACTAAACTGTAAACAACGCAAAAGAAAATGTCAACAATGTAACGAATCAGATAAATTTTAACGTGGATACACTGCTGGATTTTGATTTTTTAAAAGTCTTATAGCGCCATCATGCAGAGACTTTTTCATTTAATTTAATAATTAGATTAGAAATACGAAAATTTAAAAAATAAAAATATAGAATGTCTAAAGGGCATTATATCAAAAATACCCTTAAAATACTACTTCTACTTCAACACTTATCCCTGTGACTATGTGACCAATGTGACCGAAATATAGTATGGTCACATATTGATCTCATTGTTCATAACGTTAAATTTATGATGTTTTAATCAAATGATTAGTAAGATATACAAGGTATGAACATAATGAATTAGTGTGATCACCATAAATTTAACGTTATAATCGATAAAAATCAAAATGTGACCACACTATATTTCGGTCACATGTGATCAGGGTAGGTCTTGAAGTAGAAATAGCATTTTAAGGGTATTTTTGATAATGCCCCTGTCTAAAGCTAAGAGTATCCATTCCAAACACAAGTATAAAATAGAATTTGTCAAAATACAAAAACATTATCTTACTAAAAATTTCAAATTAAGTGAAACTTTATTATTTTTTGGAGAATGTTAACCAAATCTTTTGTAGGATGAGTGAATAGCGATACTAGAAAACTAACTGCGAAAATTTAGACTATCGTTTGATTTAATTTACAGATAATCTTGTATTTTAAGACAAATAAAAAATTGTTAAATTTTGTGATCAACATATTAATGTAATTTGAATCATTATAAATTAAGGTAACTTTTGTGATCTAATAAAAAAATATGATCCAAAATTATATTTTGGGTAAACTTAGGGATAATATATAGATAATATTTTTGTAATTTCTTACTTTTTATATACAAAATATTTTTTGTGCATATTTTTCTACAAACTGGTAGTCTAATTTTATAAAAAATACATAATAACATGATTAAAGAATAAGAATTTATTACGTAATTTTTTTAATAATATTATAATAATTTTTCATAATTTAATTATGTTTTATTTAAACAAATTAATAGACTAATATTTGTATAGAAATAACACTTAAAACTAAACCGAACTAAATTTTGAAAATATAATAGAATCGTTGTAAATTTTTTAAAAATAAATCCAAATATTAATAATTAGAAGAATGCAAATATAGATACAAAATCTTTTATTTTTATTATAAATATTTTTTAAAGTAGAAAACGATGTTTCCATGAAATTATTCTTTCTAATAAAAATAATGAAAATGAAACCGAGAGAATATGTTGGAAGTGTACAAAAAGAAAGGGACGAGCTTTTAACTACAAGACTCCAACGTGTTGAAGGACCTTTTTTTTCTCCACAATTTTTAAACATTTTTCACTCAATGTGATAAAATATTGTAGCATTGTAATGTGATACATATTTTTATTTATCTTTTTTGTTAAACGTGATAAAATATATTTATCCATTAAAAATAGATTATATTTTGAAAATATACAATTAAAAGGATAAAAACAATATATAATTGTTGTGTTCTATAATTACTAATAATATTTTATAAATTTTCTTCTAGTTGTAGTGATAATTTTCTGGCTTATATCAATTTGGTAGGAATATCTTTATATGAGTTGTATAAATAGTTATTCTATATTTAAAATTAATAATCTACAATAAAAAAAATTCTGGTGGTAATGCATGTGAATCAATAAACCGATTTAGGTCCGTTTATATGGGGTGTGTATTATTGATTCAAATGTAAAAAATTAATATTTATACAATTATCACCAAATAATTCATATCAAACCGAACTAAACCGTCATCATGTAAGAAGAAAAAAAGAAATAAATGGTTAAGTAAATGTGAATACGTTGGTAAATTAGCTGCAGTTATATGTACGTATATAAATGAGATATGAGATATGGTGTATATGTATATGTATGTATATATGTAATGTGTGTATGTCCATATGTATGTGTGAAGTAGATATATATACGCAATGGGGGTCCTTAGAGAAAGGAATCTCTGCTCTGTGACAGTTGAAGCAGAGACCTCATATAGTGTGTGGGACTTTTAGGGTTTTTGGTGTCTGAAAATAAGAATTTATTATATATATATATATATGTATGTATGATAGGAGGGCATCGAGCTGAACGAGACGTTTTAGATTTGTAGGAAAACGACATGAGTGAAGAAGATAGATTTCATGAAGCAAACAGCCATGAGTTCCGGTGTCGTTGGAAAAAAGTTTAATTACGAGTCATGGCGTAATGGTTTACGATTATGTTGGTCTAGTTTCTGAATTGTAAAATAATTTAGACGAATTATAAAACTGAGAAAAGTTAATAATTTCCGAAAACATGTTCGAAAACACACACACCATAAAATTAATTAATTAATAAATTATAGGTTTTAGTGAAGGAAAATTCAAGCTGTTTTGTTAAGTCGATTTAAATTTTTTGGGTAATCGGATGTCATGGAACGAGGTTTAGACTAATCTCAGGACCAAGAACAAGCCATGTTATTAGAATATACGTTTTTCTCCCAACTTGAGAATCGAATTCAGGACGGAACAAACGTTTTGCGTCTCCATTTCACCAGATGAACTAACCAGGTCGATTTAAATAATTGTGTAAACCTCAAGGTGGATTCATTACGATTTAGGGA